AAAAAATCCGAAATTAATGTTCTTCATATGTTACCCTAACTAATATTTGATTTTATTAGTTGAGGTAACACCCTAACGTCTCGCCTATCAGATTTAGTAAATAGGCAATACCATCAGACCTAAAATTATGTTTCAAAAGTGAAGTTATTATACTTTTGGGATCAATACGATCATAACGATCTTTTAATTTTATGATACTCCTATCCTTTTCGTATTCCTCAGAAAGTATTTCGATAAATCCCTGGTAATCTCCTTTATCATAAGCATCTAATGCATTCTTTATAATCTCATTGAGTTTTTCACGAATTTTCGGCTCAGATAAAAGAGAAGCACTTAGACTCCAAAGATTCCAACCACACAATATCCCTAATAGTGGAGCTAAACAGCCTATCAAAGGTATAAATGCAATTGTTGTGGAACATATAGATAATAATGACGCAGCTCTCACTACTACTCCTGCTACTACGTGCTTGACAACGTGACTTTTGGAATGTAAAATATTTTCTCGAGAAGCTTGATAACTAACAATTTGACGGTCTGGTTTGAACATTAATTGAGTTGACAACTTTATTAAATCTTCTTCAATCGAACGTTGAGTCTCATTCTTCTCTAAAAATGACATTCCTTGGTTCACTGCTTTAACTAAAGCTTGTGAGTTTCCTAAATCACCTTTCAGTTTGATATCAGTTTTCAATTGAGATTTTTCACCTCTCACTTTATCAAATATTTTTTTGGCCTCTGCTAAGTCTTTTTGAGAGATGCAATGAGAATACTGATAAATTAAACGAATTGCTGATAAAGCATATAGTTGAGCTTCCAGATAACGATCAGAAATATATAAACATAATGCAATATTTTCTCGTAGTTTTATTTGCTTGTTTAATTCTTTGGCTGTATCTGCAACTTTACAAGCAGCCCGATATTCCTCATAGGCCAACATTCCACTAGTCACGCTTAAGCGTTTTAAATCAGTAGAAGGAATTTCTTTTATATCTTCTTTATCAAAAACCTTTAGTCTATTCCAATATTCTTTAGAGGCATTGCGATAATCAATCGCAATCTTCCAATGCTCATTTGCCTTTTTTTCGTGAAAATCAAGCACTCCTTTTTTTTTTGAAGCCTTTTCCAGGATAGTTAATAAGTCTTCCTTAAATTTTAAAATGATTTTAAAAAGCTCTATGCCAAGGTACTGGTCACTATCACGAAGCCCATTTGGAGTGTTAGTATGTCTTGTTCGATCAGGATGGAAGCACGAAGCAAGTTCTTTGTAACGTTTATTAATTCCTCCTTCTGTAAGCACTATGTTACTGAATAATATGGCTTCCTTATTTGGTGAATTTAAAGTTTTCTGTATAAAATTTAATTTCCTTGAATAAACTGTTTGATTAACGAATTGACTTGTAAATTTTTTTAAATCTTTTAAAATCAATAATCGATCCTCCTCTTGTTTGATCTCTGATTGATTTGATTCGTTATTATGAAGTTGATCCAAGGTAATAAATTCCTCATTAATTAGAACATTTAATGATTTAATAAAAGAATCTTCGTAAATAACAAGTTGCTGATAATCTTCAAAGGTTTTTGGTGTCTCGCATAATTTGTTAAATATTTTTCTGATAGGCTCAATAATTATCTCGCCAAGAATATTTCGTGCTATCTGTAGTTTCTCTCTTATGGTTTGTTCCAGAGGTATTTCAACAAAATCAGGAATTTGATTGTCTAATTGAGCACCGCTAAACAGTATAGATTCATTTTCATCGATATCTACACATTCCATTTTGAAAAAGTCCCTCTTGTTTAGTTCAAGAAAAGTAAAATAGCTTTTGAATCATTCAGATAGCTTGTTCAGGATATGTATCACTTAAATGTTGTTAATAACAATTTAAAGCAATGCAGATGCTGAAAAAAATAATCGAGAATACTTTATATATTTACAAATTTTTGGCGACTAGTAATTTTATCTTATGTTAATAATAATATTCTTCATTTGACAGCCAATTTCATACTTACAAACACATCAAGAAGGAAAACTACTAATAAATGCTTGCTAATCAATAAGGCTATAAATGATATATACCTTCTTGATGCATTGTATATATCGGAGTGTGTACGAAATAGGCTATAAGAAAATTCTCTTTAATTTAGGGGTTTGGTCACAAATTTAAGTACGAAAAAAAAATACAGTAGATAAATAAAAAGTAATACTATAACATTTTAAATAAATTAAAAAGACAAAATTGAGATATTGTTAAGGATGAAATAGGTTATTAGTCGCGTAGAGAACCGTTAATATAACAAACTAAGGAAATGAGACGAAGCAATTCGTCAGGGCGTGACGTTAGTTATTTGGGCTTTTGAGTCTATCGAGTTTTATATTCTTGCGATTGACTTTTTTTATCAATTATTTTGGTTATCAGCTTTCTTCTGACAAGATTTAGTCTCTTTTCCTATAACTATGACGCACTTGGTTAATTATTCTCGCGTCATAACTTTCTCGTCATGACTTTTGCGTCATCACTTATTAACTTACGTTATTAGGGTTGGGTAACAATTCATTTATTCCTAATTCAAATTATCGGGGGGGGGGGGGGGTTTTGCTCAATACTTCTGG